AATATATGCCCAGAAATGGAACTGTTGGATCATATGGTACTTCTACCACCGACAGTAGAAAAGGGTTCTCTCTCCACATTCTCTCCGGCGTGTTAGATTTGATGATGGCCGTTCTGACTGGAGGGAGGCTTTGTCTCAGAGAACTTCTGACTTGCACTTTTTCTGATGGTGAAGGACATTGAATACTTTTTAAAAAAATAGTTATTGGCCATTTGTGTTTCTTTTGTGAAAACTTCCTCTTCAGCTCACTTGTTGTTTGACAGCTGTATTCCCTTGTTGTTTAGTTTTGTAAACTCTGGTTATTAACCCCTCATCTGAAGTGTAACTGGTAAAGATTTTCTGCCATTCTGTTAGCTGTCTGTTTCCCTTGCCATGTAAGACCTTTTCTCCAGTGTGTATTTTGACTCTTGTTAGGGATTATGTAGCTGTAACTATGGGTTTGCTCCCTTGGTCCTCTGCTTTGTCCACTGATCTGCTCTTATGCCATTGTCATGCTGATTGTATCACTATAGCTCTGTAGAGTAACTGCAGACTGGGTGCTGTGATAACCGCAGTGTCCCTCTTTGAGCTTAGTGTGGCTTTGACTACTCAGACTGCTTCTTAATATTTTGCTTTTTGCTTCCATATGATTTTAGAAATCTTTTTTTGTAGTTCTGGAGCAAAATGTCATTGGAATTTTAAAGGGGCCACATAGAATTATACACTAGGTAAGACAGCTGTCTTTGCATTAATTCACCTATTTTTGAGGATATTATGAATGGCATTTTTTTCTTTCTAATTTCATCTTTGGCCAGTTTATTATTGGTGTCTGGAAAAGTTACTGTCTGTTTATTTCTTTTGTATCCTACTGCCTTGGTAAGAGTTTTTGGTAGAGTTTTAAGGGTTTTTTCCTTCAAGATTTAATTTTATGTGTATGGGTGTTTACCTGCATGTATACATGTTCACCGTGTGTGTGTGTGTGGTACCTGTAGAGACCATTAAAGGGCTTCAGGTCCCCTGGAACTGGAGTTATGGATGGCTGTGAGCCACCATGTGGGTGCTGAGAGCCAAGCTTGGATCTACTGTAAGGCAACAATTATTTTTATTTATCTTGTGTCTTTTACATCATGTATCTTGATCCCATTTATTTCCCTGTCCCCCACATCCACCCTCTGCCCCTGTACCCTCATAAAATAAAATTTAAGAGAAAAAGGAAACAATTTAAAAATGTCATCCTGGAAGCTAGAGTGAGTCACACAGTAAACCCCTTTGTCCTTGGATCTTTATTCTAAGTGTCCACTGCAAAAAGTCATTGGCCTGGTTTGAGGCTTCTAGTTTCTATTCCTCTCTCGACGCCGTACCCACACTGGGACTCCTCCCAATATCCTGTTGTTGTCCTGTGTCGTGGAGACCCTGAAGCTTTGGGTGTGCGGGTCAGGTTCCTTCATGTGCTCCAGTAGATCATTGATGGGGTAGATGTTGGGGCAGGCCAAGTTATAACCCTGGTTCTGGACCAGGGCAGCTGTACGGTTAGTCTGCCTGCTAGTTCTTCCCTGTCCTCATCACTAGGGTGAGTTCTTCAGTATCGCCCTGACTAATTCACCTTTTTCAGCATTAGTGAGGGGTGGGACCAGTTCTATTGCTTTAAGGCCATCATGGTCGATTCTCCCATACCTACAGCATCAGTGCCAGCTCTGTTGTGTTGTTCTGGTGAGGTATAGAGGCCACTCTCCTGAGTATTACAACCAGTGAAGAACTGGGACAGCCTTCCTGCTCTTATGGTCCCAGGGCCAACTCCTCCACTTGTCTCAGGCATTGATGGGTGTGGGAGGGAATGAATGTCTCCTTCATTCATATCGCTGCATGGCAGATGAGTAATGAGGACAGCTCTCCTTTGCTCTTAATGTTGGGTCTGGGTCACCCTCACCTCTAACCACTGTGCCAGCTCTGCTGTCTAGGCAAGGAGCAGGGCCTGCTTTCCTGAGTGCTGCAGGTGGCAAGGGGGAGAGTTAGCTCTCTTGTCTGTCATAGGTGGTAAGGGGTGAGAAGTAAGGGGGCGCCTCCCTCCCACCCACACTGCTGCGTGACAGACAAGTATTAGGGACCACTCTCCAATGCTTACAACTTTGGAGCTACTCAATTACACCTGCGCCAACAGGGTTGAGCCGCTATTGCGTTACCCAGGTGAGATGCAGGGCCTGCTCTCCCAAATGTTGCAGCCGGTGGGGGGCAGGGACAGCTCTCCTGCTCCTGTGACCTTAGGGCCCATTCTCCCACTTGCCTTGGGTGTTGATGGGTGTGGGAAAGGGGAACAACTCTCCCCCCGTTCATGCTGCCACAAGACAGAAGCGTAATGGGGGCAGTTTTCCCATGCTCACAACTTTGGGGCCGACTTGCCCAGACCCCCGCTAACAGGGTTGGCTCTATTGTGCTGCCCTAGTGAGGTGTTGCAGCTGGTGGGAGCCAGGGACAGTTCTGCTCTTGTGACCTCAGGGTCAGTGCGCCCACCTGCCTCGGGTGTTGATCGGCGGTTGCAGGGGGACAGCATATGGGTGATGGGGACAGCTCCTTCAGGCTGACAGTTTCGGGGCTGGCTCACCCATGCCTCCACTAACAGGCTTGGTTCTACTGTACAGCAAGTGTTCTTTACCTCGGGCCATCTCTCAGACTCAGTCTTAGCAATATGGAGTCATGTTGTCTACAAATGGAGACGATTTGAATTCTTTCCTAAACATACCCTTTTTATGTCATTTTCCTATGTTGTCCTAGCTCTGGGTTTGAGCACCGTTAAATAAGATTGGAAGTGTAACACTCTTTGTCACTTTTGTTCTACAAGAAACACTTTGTTTTTCCCCATTAAGCATATAGTTCTGGTTACAGGTTTGCTTTGAGATTGGATTTGTTTTTTTCTAAGACCTTGAAGTACAGAGTGTCATTTGCTGTGTGTGTGTGTGTGTGTGTGTGTGTGTGTGTGTGTGTGTGTTGCACTCTCCTTTGCCTACATGTGTGGGAGCAGAGCTGAGTGTTTTCCTGAGACAGAGTCACTCACTGAACGTGGAGCTCACTATTTTGACTAGGCTGGATGGCTGGTAAGTTTCCCAGATCCGCCAGATTCTGTAACATGTGGGGCCGGCTTGTTGGGGTTTCTGTCCCTCCCAGTACCCCAACAGCCGGCAAGCAACAAAGAAAATCACTCACAAGATTCCATAAGGTTATAAACTGATTGGCTCATTAGGTCAGGCTACTTATTAGCTCTTATAACTTATGTTACCATATTATCTTTATCTACATTAGCCATATTGGCTCCATACCTTTCTCAGCAGGGCAAGTTACATGCTGCCTCTTCGGTGGTCTGCGCAGGAGTGGCGAGAGAACTTCCTGTGTCCCAGAAAACTCCCAGTCTCTTTGCTCCACCCCTACTTCCTGTCTGGCTTTCCCGCCTATACTGCCTGCCTGGCCAATCAGTGTTTTATTAAAATATGATTGACAGAATACAGACAATTCTCGCACACCATTTCCCTCTTTTTTTAAAAAAAAAAAAATACCCATAGTCCATTTGTTGGGAATGTGGGCGTAGTATTTTAGGCTACTTCCTGCTGGTTGGGGGCGCTGATAATCATATGGGGACCTAAAGAAAATTTAGAATTATCATCAAGTCCTGACTGGAGTATCCTGTGAGTCTTGATCATCTCAGGCAGCAGTCTTGAACCTGTTCTGGATGAAGAACTCAGACATCTGGGCCATCTGTTTCTGTCGGAGATTTTTCAGGTGGCCTTCCTTGATCATACTGGATTTTTCTTAACTCAAAATGAATCCACAACCTCTCATTTTCTGTGGAAACAAAAGCAAAATCTCTTCTCCAAAGTAACAAACCTTTTGACTTCAGTTTTGAAGCCAAGGTATTTTCAAAATACCTATCTTGGGTTAGTTCAGCAGCATTTATAAACAACAGTCCTTTAGCAGCTGTTGCTCCTTCCTCAGCATTCAAACAATTCAAAGAGAGCATAATAACATGCAGTATCAAGATTATCTTTGTATTTTCTATCTTTGTGTGGCTTTACTTTAACCTCTATTTTTTTTATTTTTACTTTTATTTTTTGAGACAGGTTCTCTGTATATCTTTGTCCTGGAATAACTCTGTAGACCAGGCTGTCCTTGAATTCATAGAGATCCTTCTGTCTCTGCTTCCCCAGTGCTAGGATTAAAGGTGTGTGCTACCACACCTTGAACTCACAGAGGTCAACTACCTCTGTCCCTTAAAGTCTCAGAGGTCAAAGTACCTCTGCCTCCCGGGCATTGGGATTAAAGGTGTGTTCTACCACACCCAACTACTCTCTTTCTTCCCTTTTTACCCTAAGAACTTTAACCTTTAACCTGCATGTATTTTTAACACATAGTAAACCATTTAGAGGTTTTTTTCTCTTTGAATCTCTCTTTACTGTATATCTCTCTTTTTTTGACCACTTGAGTCTTTAAGAAGAGGATGAAAGCTGTGGCTTTGACGGCTAGATCCTCGTGGCTGAGGTACCAGCCAGAGCTGTGTTCACTGCCACAACTCTATGGCGTTTCAAGGTCCTTGCCAGCAAGCTGCAGCATTCTGCTCACAGACCACACTCAATCGGACTGCCTGCCTGAAAGAGTCAGAGTTTGCCCTGGCAGGACAGCCCAGAAAGCTGGCATTTTAAAACAGTGCAGTTTTTATCCTGCTACAGCTGAAAATTGAAAAGCATGCGGTCAGCTTTTCACCAACACCATTTAAGTGTTTCGTGGCAGGACCTCTTAATGAGCTGCAGGATTTTGCAGCTAAAGCTGAGTCAGGAAGCCTCTCTTAGATGAGAGCATTTGCTTGCCTCTAGCAAGCAGCGCAGACCCAAGAAATTGCTGCTACCAAGAAACCATGCATAATGCTGTTATTTTGTTCTAGAATTACTTCCCAAGCTGTCTCAGGCTTTATGTGGATACAGTTGTCCACACGTTGGCGCCATTTGTAACATGTGGGGCCGGCTTGTTGGGGTTTCTGGAAGACAGAAAAATCTAAGCTGTTGTCTGATATAAGTGCTCGTCTATGGTTTACATACAGAAGGAAATTTTCACCAATTGGGAGAACAGGCCCTTCATCTGATGCTGGCTGGGGATGTATGCTACGCTGTGGACAGATGATGCTGGCCCAAGCCCTTATCTGTAGACACTTGGGAAGGGATTGGAACTGGGAGAAACAAAAAGAACAGCCCAAAGAATACCAAAGGATTCTGCAGTGTTTCCTAGATAGAAAAGACTGTTGCTATTCGATCCATCAGATGGCACAAATGGGTGTAGGAGAAGGGAAATCAATTGGCGAATGGTTTGGACCAAATACAGTCGCGCAGGTGTTAAAAAAATTCGCTTTATTTGACGAATGGAATTCCTTGGCTGTTTATGTGTCAATGGATAACAGAGTGGTCATTGAAGATATCAAGAAGATGTGCTGTGTTCTTCCCGTGGGAGCCGACACAGCTGATGAGAGCCCCCCTGCTTCTCTGACGGCTTCCAATCAGAGTAAAGGCCCCTCTACCATGTGCCCAGCTTGGAAACCCCTGCTGCTCATTGTGCCCCTTCGCCTGGGCATAAACCAAATCAATCCTGTGTATATTGAAGCATTCAAAGAATGTTTTAAGATGCCACAGTCTTTAGGGGCTTTAGGAGGAAAGTCAAATAACGCCTATTATTTCATAGGATTCTTAGGCGATGAGCTGATTTTCTTGGACCCTCACACACCCCAGACCTTTGTGGACACTGAAGAAAGTGAAATTGTAGATTATCAGACCTTCCATTGCCTGCAGTCTCCACAGCAAATGAGCATCCTGAACCTGGATCCTTCTGTGGCCTTGGGATTTTTCTACAAAGAAGAGAAAGACTTTGACAATTGGTGTAGCCTTGTTCAAAAGGAAATTCTAAAGGAGAATTTGAGGATGTTTGAATTAGTTCAGAAGCATCCATCACAAGATTCTATTCCCACAGCTCTGGGGTTATGAACCTGTGACTCTGTACCTCAGTTTTATATGGGTGCTAACCATCTGGACACAGGAGATGCCACTTGCATAGCAGATATTTCATGCACTAAGCCACCTCCTGAACCCGTGATGGGATTTTTCTTCTTCTCTTCTACTTTTTTATACTATGCAGCCCCAGGTTATCTGAAACTCACTATGTAGACATAGAGGCCTCAAATACATAGAGACCTGCCTGCCTCTGCCTTCCAAATACCGAGATTAATGGTATGCACCACCCCACTGGCCCTGAGGTGGGATTTAGAAAAACGTAGTCCACTGTAGGTTTTGCTGTTAGAATGCCCTGCTGTGTCACAAGCGTTCTAGTTATGTCGCGGTTTCAGTTGTTTCATTCTAAGAATCTTTAAGTTTCCTGTCAGGTTTCTGCAGTGACACACTGTTCTTTCCAGAGTGTGTTCACAGGCTTCTTCAATGTCTTCATGCACTTACGCTGGTTTCTCTTGCTGTTCTATTCTAATTTTATTTCACTGTGGTCTTATAAAATACAAGACTTTACTTGGATTTCTTGAGACTCATTTGAGGCCTAGAATGGGGCCTATTTCATGTGTATCCGTGTTTTGCCTGTGTGTACCACATGCTCATGAAGACCATGGTGCTCATGAAGACCGGAAGAAGGTGTCACATCCCCTGAAACCAGAATTACAGATGGTGTAACAGAAGGAGCTACTGTGTGGAAGCTGGGGTTCCAACCTGGGTCCTGTCGAAGAGAAGCCTGTGTTATTAACTACTCAGCCATCTCTGCAGTCATGCATCTGTGTTTATGATCATGTCTTCTTTTTGCAGTCATATTTTATCAGAGATTTGAATGGCTACATCAGCTTTGAGTGGGAGTCCCCTCTGTATGCTGTGAATTGGTTAATGAGTAAAACTGCTTTGGCCTACAGCAGGGCAGAATTGAGTAAGGCAGGAATTCCAAGCAGATAGAGAAGTAAAGAAGACAGTCAGGGAGACACCATGTAGCCATTGGAAGAGAAAGATACCCATGCACCAGTACTGGTAAACCATAATCCTCATGGTAAAATATAAAATATTAGAAATGGGTTAATTTAAGATGTAAAAGCTAGCTAGAAATATACTTAAGCTATTGACCAAACAATATCATAGTTAATATAGTTTCTGTGTGGTGATTTCGGGTCTGAGCAGCTGGGAAACACAAGCACCCTCTGTCTACATAGCTTGGTCTCAGTTTTTGTTTACTTTGATTCCAGGCAGTGGTAGTTGTTTGTTTTATGGAGGCAACAGACAGTTGGATAGTTTCATAATCCAGTCAGATCATCTGCATCTTTTCAATGGTGAATTGAGGCATTTTAACACTTAAGGTTTTAATTGAGAGAGGTCTGTTGGCTTCTGTAATTTGCTGGTTGTTTGCCTTGTTGGTTGGGTTGTTTTTGTCCTTTGCCCATTAGTACAAGGGTTTGGGAGGTTTGCTATGCCCAAGAATGAAGGATTTTTTTCTTAGCTCTCTTCCTGTCCTTGGTTCACCTGTCCTTCACATGCCTTTCCTGTGCTGTTGTATACAGGCTTACTTTCTTCTTTCTTTGTGTACAGTGTCTCTTTAAGTGTCTTCTGCAGTGCTAACGCTGCTTTAGTTTGTGCTTGTCTTCAAACACTGCATTTCTCTCAAAATTTTAAAGCTTTGCAGGGCACGGCAGTCTTGGTTGGCATTTATTTACTTACAAGGCTTGAAATACACCATTCTGTTCTCTATTGACTTCGAGGGTTTCCGATAGAGATCTGATGCTATTCTGATGTTTCTGCCTTTGTAGATGAGTTGATATTTTGAACTTATAGGTCCATTCTGTCCCTGTCCACTCTCTGCCTTGAGGCAGGGATGGGATCCAGGGTTTGAACAAGATAATATTGTGGTGGAACACCACAGCATCCAGTGCTGGTGCTTTGTGTGGTCATTGGGTCTGTGTCCCCTGCATCCCCCCTCCCCATGTGCACTGAGGTCTGTTGGGAGGATCAGAATCATTTGTCATATGTTCAGGTAAGATAAAGGGAACATGGTATTACCCCTTTAGTCTTTAGCTAATACCTGCCTCATTTCTAGACTTTAGAATTTCTCTCACTGGGTTTCTACTCTTCGTGTTGCGTCTACTTCAAGTATATGCTAAAAAGGGAGCGCACAGCTGGAGGTATAGTTGGGAGAAGGAAGATCCATGGGTCCCAGGTAAAAGATTTTCTCCTGGAGGTTCCATATGTAGGACCATTTCCATCTTGATACCCTTTGTTCTAATGGATACAATTTTTCCAAAATGGTTAAGAAGGCAGGAGCCAAAATATCAACATAAGCAGAATAGTCAGTGCAGGTCCTAATCAGGGAGATCCCAGGTGACAGAGGACACACAAAGTAAGTTCATATAGATGAGAGAAGTGGGATCAGGGAAACCAAAGAAAAGGAGAATGCAATGCTCAGCTGCACTGCAGCGGCAGAGGAGCGGGCATAAAGTGATATCCCCGGAGGAGGATGTTTACAGAAGAACAGTTTATAAGACTTTTTAAAAAGTGAAGTATACCTCTTCCCACTTTCCTTTCCTCTTGTATCCCCTCCCTCACACCCCTCCCACATGGTGTCTCCTCACTCTTGATAGCCTCTTTTTCTTTGTTACACATATGTATATAAATGCATAAATATATAAATACAACCTGCTGAGTTTCATGTTGTTTGTTTATATATAATGTCAGTGCTGACCATTTCACATTGGGTATTGGAGGGCTCATCCCTGTGCAAGGTTAATTCTCCCTCTTTCGTCAGCCATTGGTTGCCTGCAGGTCTTTGTCTAGTGGTAGGACCTCGTGAGATCCCACCCTTCCATGCTAGCGTGTCTGTTGGTATTGTCACCATTCAGATCTTCTTTAGGCAGCCATATGATTAAGTTGCATAGGTACAGCCTGCCTACTTGTATTTCTAGGAGATGCAATCTCAGCAGATTTCCTGGTCTCCTTTGGCTCCTACAATGTTTCATCCCTCTCTTCTGTGATGTTCCCTAAACCTTGGGTGTAGGAGTTATGTAGGAGAGAGAGATGTGTTGGATCTGGACGCCCCAAATTTAGCTATCTCTGTTTATATTATGTTTTTTTATCTCTGGTCAGTTGTGGTTTTCTGTGATGGTCTTTTATTTCTGTAAAGAGAAGCTTTTTTGGCAAAGGGTGAAAGCTACACTTATTTATGGATATAAGGATAACTTTTAGAATGCAGTTAGGAATTATGTTGGCCTAGTAAAATGATCTTCCTCCCTTTGAATAGGCCTTAAGACCAACTTTGTGTGGTTATTGCCAAGACAGGAACAGCTTGCCATAATGGTCTTTGTATCATAGGTATCACTACTGGACAGGACCATCAGTTGTTCCCTTCCTTAGCAGCTTGCACAGCCCCTTCTGGTACTTTAAGAGCTGGACCACAGGAAAGAAGCTGTGAGGTCAGATCCAGCTGTGTCCTGTGTCCAAGGTGTATGCTATCTTCATAGGGACTTTTATTCAACCTCTGAGAAACAACTTAGGGAAACAGCAAAAGGGAGATTCATGGATTACTTTAACCAACAACTTGAAAAGAGGTTTCTTATACCTGGTGCTGGGGTTTTGCTAGATAGTCTATGACTCTTGTGGGAAGCATGTCAGCCCCAAAGATAACTTCATTTAAGCTATATATGTATATAAACATATATGCACACATAAGTGTATACACATATACACTTATGTGTATTATATATAATTTTCGTTAATAAAATATGATTCCTTAAGATGTTTCAAACATCCTTAGTATTTGTGTCTCTTCCCTTTACCCCCTCAGCCTTCTTCTCCCCTCCCCAATTAAAACTCCCTCTTCCCCCTTCATATTATGGAAAACAGTTTAAGAAGCCCTTGAGTGGCTTCTAGGATACAAAAAGTCCAGTGGTTTCTCTTTCTCTTGGTGTCTTTCTCAGTGGTCTCAGGATTCCAGAGTTTTAGGTGAGTGTGATAGACAGTCCCACCAAGGCAGGAGAGAGAGAAGCTTTGATACTCTGCTCCAAGATTCCCAAGAAAATCTTGAACAGGATTTTTGGGAATTAGGCTCGCTAGGTGAGATGAATAATAAGCTTTGCTGATTTAGATGCTAGGACAAGTTCATTGGTTAGAGATGTCCACACAGAGTCTCAAAAGGAGTAAGTCCTTGTTTGTCCTGGGGTGGAGACATCTTTCTGAAGTGGGGTAAGGCAATAAGACCCATGAGGAGTGGGTTTCTGGTAAGTGACTCGTAAGAAGTCCTTGTGATTGGAGATAGATACTGCAGCAGTTAAGACCCCACACTGCTCTTGCTGAGGACCCAAGTTTGGTTGCCCAAACCCATGCAGGGGTGGCTCACAACCGCATGCAACTCTAGCTCCCCTGGTCGTGGCCGGCACCTGCACACATCTACACAAACCCTCGCACAGACACATACACATTAGTTTGTAAAGTAAATATTTAAAAAGTAGTCTTTGACTATATTTCCAAGATGGGTATTCAAGAACACATTGCTGTCTAAAATTAACCATTTTTTGTTGAGTCTGGTTAAGGTCCTCAGGGTCATTTTGGTCTAGGGAGAAGTAGGCCTCTTTTAGCAACATGATTTATAATCTTCTGGGATTTACTTGACCTTAGAGGGCCAGGGCAAAATATAGCCCCTTTTATCCCTCTGACTATATTAGCATAAGCCTCCAGGTTACTGAGCACCTAAAAGGTAAGTTACACCAATGTGATACCGCTAACTTCTGTGTAACATTTCAGATAAAGTGTGGGCAAAAGCCAAACACAATGGACATACATTTTTGTTCTCTGTTAGAAATGGGACTGGAATCTCAAGAAATTGGTCACAAAACCATTTGGGTGAGGCAAAAAGTTTTACTTCTGCCAAAGGGTGCCATGCCAAACCAAGGAAGCACAACCAGCAGAGGCCCCACTGGGCTTTTATTCCAAGTGCAAAGGGGTCCTGTGCCTCGCTCTGAATTGTCAGAGCT